ATTTTCGCGCACGTACTCCACCCCCTACGGGTAGTTGAGCCGTTGTAAGGTCTGTGTGTCCCATTAGTGGGTTGTGGCTGCCCCTGTAAATAAAACTGCATCTTGACTTGGTATCTCCAGCTTGTGGCTACTGTGTGGCACCAGGACCCTGCTTAATTACGTGTGTTTAATTAAGCAGGGCCATTGCGCACACACACACCCCCCTCCCAGCCTGTCTCCCACCACTCCATTTACCAAAATCTAATTGTGGGGGCTCTTTTTTTTTTTGAATGAATACTTCCCAAAAGCGTGGGGGAGGCAGCAGGGTCATGAGCCAGCTGCGGTTTTGCAGGCAGCTGCCCCTCAGGCAGGAAGGCGAGCGCTCGGGCTGACTTTACACCTTTTATTTGCTTTTGAAAGTCTCTGGGAGGAAGCCGCAGCCTGTTCCGGTGCTCATACCCGCCTCGCCGTTCACTGTGGCAGAGATCCTGCCCCAGAGACGGGAATGGGGCAGGGCACAATGCTGTCCTGAGCGAGCAGGGGAGCTCGCTGCCGGAGCTTGCCCGAGTGCGCAGAGCCAGCGCGCTCGCTGGGAGAGGAGCGGAGGGCAGGAATGGAACCCAGCTGAGTGAGAGTGGACTGTGCCTGCTTGGCTCTCCTCCCCAGAGCCATGCTTGGGCCTGGGAGGTGTCTGGGGGGAGCACGGTCCCTTCTGGTGGGACAAAGTCTGGCACCAAGACTGGGAAGGACGTGCCAAGCTCCCACCATGCTGGCTCCGGTCACCGGAATGCGGCCATGATGAAAGTAGCGCCCGTCCGAGTGCCGTGCTCCCATGGGGACAGGCTGGGGGGACGCCGTGGCACCTCCCGGTCGAGTCCCTACTGTCCGTACATCCCGAACACCAGGAAGCTGAACAGGACGGTGATACCAATCAAGGAGACAGTGGCCGGGGCGGTGAAGAGCTGTCGGTAATTGATGCGGAAATACCAGATGACCGCCAGCACCACCATGACAGCAGGGACCATCAGGTTCCCCATGCTGAGGGAGAGGCCACCGGCATCGGGGGTGGCGGTGCTGGGGTCTGGCAGTGTGGCGGCAGCGCTGGCAGCGCTCTGGGAGCGGTGGCAGTGGATGACACAGTTGTCCGTGATGTGGAGCGAGCGCAGCGTCCGCCCCTGGTCCTGCAGCAGCTGCCCGCGATAGATGAACTTCATCTGGTTCTCCTGGCCCGGGAAATATTTGCTGTGGAAGGAGGGATGAGGTCAGAGACAGGGCTCACGGCCGCACCTCAAGTGACCTGGGAAACTGCGGGAAACATTGTAAAATCGATGAGGGTCCCGCATTGGGGGAACCGCCACAGGTCTCATCTTTTAAACTCATTATTTTAAAATTGGCACCTTTTTATTTTTGGAGAAATCCCTTGTGGCAGTAAGAAGGGATGAAAATCCTCCACTGTTCTCAGGCAGAAGGGTGGGGAGGGGGCTGTTTGTACAAGGAGGGGGACAAAAGCTGCAACCAGGCAGCGCTCCCTCACATCTTCCTCGGGACTTACCTCTTGAGCCCCCCCACGGTGTCCTCAGGCCGGACCACAGCTACCTCCTCCGTGTCATTGAGGAATTTGAGCCGGATCTTGATGAGGCCGGAGCACAGGTCGCTCCCCCCTGGGGTGGGGGGGCCTCCCTGGCTGCCTGGGGCGCTGAGCTCAGTGGCTGCAACCAGGCAGCGCTCCCTCACATCTTCCTCGGGACTTACCTCTTGAGCCCCCCCACGGTGTCCTCAGGCCGGACCACAGCTACCTCCTCCGTGTCATTGAGGAATTTGAGCCGGATCTTGATGAGGCCGGAGCACAGGTCGCTCCCCCCTGGGGTGGGGGGGCCTCCCTGGCTGCCTGGGGCGCTGAGCTCAGTGGCCGACGTCCCTTTGGGCAAGCTCCGGCCATTCAGCAGCCGCTTCGGGGTCGGGGGAGCTGCCGCTGTCCCCCTGCTCCGCTGCCGGCCCCGATGCTGCCCCTCCTTCCTCTTCTGCTTTTTCCTCTGGGTTTTCGGGGACCCCAGGGGGCTCCAGGGCCTCAGCTGCCCCCGCTGTCCCCACGTACCGCTCCACATGGCCGAGTCGGATGACGGCAGCGTCCCCCGCTCCGACGATTGTTCCCAAAAGCTGGTTGCTGCTGTCAGCGACATAGGTGGACAGCCACGCCAGGACCAGAGCCAGGACCAGCACGACGACACCGGCCACCACCGTCACCTCATCCCCCACCCCACGGATGAAGGTGGCAGCGGGGGGCTCCATCTCTGGAGCCGGGACTTCCACCCCTCAGCCCGGTAGCTTGTGTTCTGGCTCAACCTGGCCGTGCGGCGGCAGCGGGGACCCCTGGGGCTGCTTTGGGGTTGTGTTCGGCCTTAAAATAAATCTCGCTGCTTCTCCGATGGCACAAAGAGCTGGAGGGAAGGGAGATATCTTTACTGCAGATGCGTCTTTTTTGTTACTGAGATACTAAACCAGCGACAGCTAGGGCCAGGGTGCTGCCTGGGGGGCAGCCCCACGGAGCTCTGAGTTGGCAGGGCAGGTGGTAGCCCCTCAGCAAATGTGGGATTTCTTTTAGGAGGCAGAACTTAGGGCTCGGGAGCAATTACCTCGTCCCTGCTGGGAGCAGGGCAATGCCATCGCTTCCTACGTGCCAGTTAGGAACCCAGCACCCATCCTACAACCCGAGCTGAGCTCGGCGGCGGCAGGAAGGGCTCCGCACTCAGCAGGACCGCGTTTGGC